GGGTGCCGGGGTTTATTTTGGGGGTGGGTTTCCAAGGCAGCCTCCCCTCCCGAAGCGCGTGGTCTGCGCGGGCGGCCGCGCCGGAGCTGCCGCTCGTGGCACCGTCGCTCGAGGCTCCGTCGGGAGGAGAAGCGCGGGCGGCACCGGCGTCCTCGGGCCTCGACGCGCCGSTCCCAATACGGGCGTTTCATTTTGCAATTCGTGCACACACGGGAAACTCCGTTCTACCGTCGTTCTTCACATTTTAAAGCTTTCAAACCCAAGATTTGACCGCAGTGTTTTATTTAATGCGGAACCGGTAATCCTTGATCTCAAAGTGCTTTACAAAAGATGGAAAAACAATGTATTACTCTGGTTTTATAGGCTTGGATGTTGGAGGGCTAATCCATTATACCTGACAGGCACGAGAGTCTAAAAATCCACTGCAGTTAGAAAAGGAAAACAAATAATTGGTGTGACATCTTTCTCCTTACAGCAGCAGCCAAATGGTATACAATATTCCCCCAAATACGCTGATAATCAGTGACAAATCCATATACAAATAAAGACTGTGACCACGAGTGGYTTCTATGCGTTACAAATTGTCAATTAAACCTTAACAAACCCCGACTGCACACTGGCATTGACCACAGACTGGAATAACGTATTGAGCAGGTCCGTACTTTTGAAGAGGCAGGCAGGCAAAACTCAGAAGCAAATATTGTAGGCTCCTATAAATTATAATAATAACAAATAATCATATAATAATAATAATCATATAATAATAATAATAATAATCATATTTCAAGCACTCTGTGCCCTAAAGCCTTTTTACTCCTGTTGCAAAAAGGTGTAATTGAAACTTTTATGGCTACAAAAATCACTCTTTAATGCAACCAAAAATACCAAGTCCCAAAGCTTCTACTTTGCGCTCCGATCTGGGTCGCAAGGAAGTCATCAAGCAGAACTGCAAGCAGGTTTCTAACCAGGAGCTAGCCCAAGCCTAACTTTTTCTGAGCTGTCCAAGGAAATGCTGCTCTTGTTCCTCGGGCTGGGTGTTTGATCTCTTTTCCCCTGCTTTGATCACGGAGCGAAGTCTGGCACAACCTGAACTGATTTAACCGATGGTGTTGGCAGCGTGTGAGGTTTGCTCTGCTGCTGCTCRTCGTTTGCTCGTAGAATGTAAACGGAGGGCAACCAAGCACTGAACCCCCCCCATAAAYTGAACATGGGCAACAATGAGGAAAAAAGGAGTGATTCATCAGTATTTCCAGTTAGAAACAATAAATTAAATCATTCAAAACGAGCCAGAAAGAGATACAACGCAACAAAAAGGTACAAAYATCCATTTTAAAACAACAATAAATATTTATTTGGTTTCAGAACTGCAAGTATCACAAGAAGGGAACCACATAAATGATCCATAGTTCGTATGCTAGAACACAAACAGCACCTGAATTTAGATTTTGTCTCGTTCTGACTAGTACGGTGATTTGTGCTCATCTTTAATGAACGATATTTTACCTTTTTAATCGGAAATTAAAGGCGCTTTCCTCCAGGCAGCTTTGCATATGGAACAAGGTACGTGGGTTTAGCAGTTATCTATATGACTAGAGGATTCTCTGTGGTTCCGAGAACCGACAGCTCAACAGTAAAACCATTACAGAAAACAACCTGAAGGGCAAAGGTTATTTTGCATCTTGCTTTAAACGACAACCATTCTTCCCTAAGTCTTGATTTACCACGTGCAGAAATTCCATGCCAAACTGGATACCTTTAACTCCCACCTGGGAGAAGCGACCACCGTGTAAATGTTTTCCTTTAACACGCATGGCCCTCAGTGAACTGCTGGCTAAAAATAAAATATCAGCCGCTTTGCCCAAAAGAAAAGGGCTCTGTGCACCACGTACTCACTTGGACAACAAGCTTCATAGGAGATGCTGCTATAAACAGTTTTAGTTGCAACAGGGTAAACAGGAAAAGCCAAACTTAGACATATAAAGAAGTATACAGCATGCTGTTCTGCAAACATGAAAGGACTCTTTAAGGCAGGCAATCACCCCCAAAGCTGAAATATTTTTTACTTTTTTCTTCAAATGTGAACACAAGGATGTGAATTAACCAACTCGTTTTCTAATGAGCATTAAAGTTCGCACTCTCTTGCTTATAGTTGGGAAAACCAGCTCAGAAGGCCTTCAATTAGAAAGTAAAAAGCCGTTGAGAATTTTATAAATGTGGCATGACTGTGGACAGCAACACTCCCAAGCGCAGGGGCACGAGTGAGAAASAGCAAAGCTGCTGAACACAGGAGTGCTGCTGGAATGTGAAACAGGGAAACAAGCGGCCCGTCCCCGGGAAGATGAGGAAAACCAGAATATTTCCCATCTGCGAGACATCTACAACAGAAAACTTGGAATATTTCTCATCTGCAAGACACGTACTACCTGAAGTGATGCAGGCCACCACCTACCAATACCCAAGGGAAAGTCAGTAACCGGCACGTGTCTTTCTTGCAAAATATACATGTGCTTTGGGTTTCCAACAAACATGATAAGAAAGTCAATTTTGAGGACAAATCCTGGAATTTCATAACTTCTCAAAGCCATCTCACTGCAGGCTACCTGGGAACCATGTCACCTGAACGGCAAGGCACCTACATTTCCCCTTTTGTTTTAAATTGGTTAACTTTAAAAATACTATTTTTAGTATATAGTATATACTATCATATTTCACTGCACCATAGGGATAAAGTGATGTTCGTGGAAAAAACATTATTCTGTGCTCCGTTTCCATTAACTAAGTGCTAAGTAATTTCACCCCTCACATTATCATTACAAGACACAGCGAASTAGAAAAAAAGGGGCACGATGCAAAATGAAAACCTTGGGGTAAACTCTGGAAACTTTGACAACAATACGAACTATGTGAAAGGCAAAGGAAAATTTGGAATGCATGGGGTAACTTTCAAAGTTATCCTGCAAATTAGTGCATTTCCAAATGAGTGCATTACCTTTGCAACTCGGACAGGCGGGAACTACCACCCTGCTCTTGCTGTTTTGCAACAGAGGGTCCTGTTTACTGGGCTTCAGCCCTGTTCCCTCCCCTTTGATTTTTTTACGTGACCCCGGAGTTAAAATGACTCAACATCCTCAAATTGTGTTTGCAGAAAAAAGTGAAAAACACCTTCAAAGCCAGCACCAGCTCGGGCAGTGTTCTCAGATCRCCACGATTTCATCACTTGCTTTACTGGTATTTTCTACACGGAAAATTTCTATTAAATTCCCTGTCCTTCTGTATTTCACAGGTTTTGACCACAAAACCCCATCTTCTATTAGGGTGTCTTCTCCGAGTGAAGATGCCCGTTTCATCCACAGAAGGATTCTCTTATCAGCCACAACCGTATCCCCCTTTCTGCTGTGACACCCAGAGCCCAAAGAGCAAATTTGTCTCAGTAATTCACTTTTCCAGAAAGACGAGGTAACTCCACCTTAGTGCAATAGCAAAAGGACACGAAAAACAGGGACCTCAAAGAGAGACTGGAAGGGAACTCCTGCGTCACCACATTCATTGACAACCTGTCTTTTACCCCATTTATAAATCTATCAAAGCTCCTTTTAAACCTAGTTGGTCTTTCGGCTACACCAGGCCTGTTTGAGAACCTCATTTTTCAGCTCGTTAGACACCCTCTAATTCCTAGCTTTAATTTACGACCAGTTTCTCCTCATTTCTCTTTATGCCAAGTGGTACAAGCAAAATCCCAAATTCCCGCACCAAGATGATGGATAGGGCTCAATCCAATCGTTATTCCAGTTTATCACGACGGAAGATGAAACCACTTATTTCCGCAGTCACAAACAAGAGATCCCAAAGCCAGAGCATAAATCTTGGCTCGCCCGCCGGGTGCCAGCGGAGGGCACCCTTTCCATGGGCGACTAAATCCACGGAGATCTCGACTACTTCACTGCTTAGCTTAGTTCAAACCATCCAACTCTGATTTAATCAGAGCTTATTCAATRAGCAAACCCCTGTGGAAAGAGCAGCGCTGCCTTAACAGCTCCCTCCCCTGYCCAGGATTTAAGCTGCAGAAGAAGGTACAAAATCGTCGTTTTTTTTTTTTTCTAAAATATGAGACTAAAATACCAAGACTGACATTACGCCCTCCAGTTATCTCACTTATCGTACAATCCGAATGTCCGTTAAGAGTAATTTTTTTTCTGCCATTAAAGGAAATAAAAATAATAGATACCTTAAGTAAACTTTTCATTCTATTTAACTGAGCATATCTCTCAGATTAAACCTTTCTGGTTGGAAATGGACACGAGATAGAAATTCATTCTATGACATGTCACAAACTGCCCCACACATTTGTGTTTCCACCTTGAGATATTTTCAACATTTACAGGGCTGTTTTTTTGTGCAGCCCAGAATCCAACGACTTTATAGTCACAGTGAAGAAGTTACACAGACATGCTGAAAAATAAGCTGTGCTGGAACAGAACAGCCGTGTCCGACASATCACCACCCGTGAAAGACTCATTCCCAAGCACTGGTCTAGCAAAGCCAAACSTGCTCATTACTTAGAGTAAGGGGCCTAGAAGTAGACACTGGAAAGCAAACACTGCAGGATCCACAAAATCATAACTGTTTTTAGGATTATGGGAGCACCAGTGAAGGAAGAGACACCTCTTCCCGTTTTAATATTAGTCAATTTTGGATTCAAAGCCTCTGTAGCAACTTTTCAAACTGATTTGACTTGAAGGCTGGTTTGCAYCTACTATTTTGCAAGCAGGTAAAACAAATTTGGTGATAAACGCTACGTGGATATATGCTACACGCTCCCATCTGCGGCTTCCAGAGCTGACAAAGTTGCATCAATAACAGACACACGTTTCCAAATTTTACAAGCAGCGACTAAAACAGTTATGGGATAACACAAGAGATGACAACCTGTGTTTCCTTCTCACTAACGGTTTCACTTAAAGCATCAGTAAGCAAWAAATATAAAGAAAACAGACACTTACGGGATAAGGAATGCGTGCCTTTGGGCAAGTACTCAAAGAGCAGGGAACTATCCTCTCCCAGCACGTCAGCTTTCAGAGACAGCAAACTGTTCTTACTCATGAGCGCGGCGCGCAGGTTGGCGACGGCGGCGGCCTGCAGCGCGTCCTCCTTCTCCGGCGTCATGTAGGAGGCTTCGCCGGCCAGCAGCGCCTCGTCCCCGGCGCCGTAGGGCTCCGCGCGCTCCCCGCGGCTGTCCGAGCTGCTGGGCTCCGCCACGGCCACGTCGGCACCTGCACCGAGACAGAAACGTCAGGGAGCCCGGGYGCGCGGCCGGCACCGGCATCGCCGGCTCCTCGTCACCCTCTTTGCACAAAGGGATGGAGAGGAACCGTGCCCCGTGCTCTGGGTGTCCTGCTGGCGCAGGGCGGTGGGACTGGATGGTCCTTAGAGGTCCCTTCCAACTGCAAACATTCCGGGATTCCAAGTGATTCTGAACCTGACCTTCTGCAGGCTCCTTGCTAAGTAACCCACCTTCTCCCAGGTCGAGAGGTGCATGCACATTCCCCAATCAACAAYTAAAGTGAATATATATATTTATATATGCACACACACATAATTTATTACTCCATTTTTAACTACTACAGGCACTCAATGACTTCTTGCATCAAGGTTTTAGGCTAGCATGATGATACTGAATTACTTTCAATCACTCTGATGCTTTTCCATAACTTTACTCGGATAGTACGCGGTTTTCGTGCTTGCCTTCCTTCCCTGTGATGAAGATGAAACAAAAGGAAGTCCAGAGATGAACTGCCCCTAACAGGACATTATTTTCCTAGAGTGGATCCTCAGCAGCAGGGACTGATTCGCTGCAGGGATGCCAGGATGGATTGCACATGTTCACTGGATGGTAGCATTGAGAAACGGCAAAAACCAGGCAAAACATGAACTGCGGCATATACGGGGTTTGTTACAGCTTGCACTTAACTTCTGCTTTCACTGAAAAAGAAAATGAAAAGMCTAAAGCAAACAGCAAGGAAACAGCGATCGTCAGCAGAGCACACTCCCACACGGGGGAGATTCAGGCAATATTCGAGGTTGGGGACTACAAACACGACAGCGGCATCTACAAATCTGCTCCCTTTGAAGTTCCTTTCCCTCCTCCATCTGTGTTTTGCTTGCGTAATCTTATCAGTTTTATTAAATCTTAGCCCAGCCGAAGAACATTTTAATTGCTTTGAATTTATGCATATTTTGCCACGMTTCTATTACAGTGCAAACAGTTAACAGGTATATGCGTTTCTTTTCCAGAAAAGATAGTSAAGTTTGTTTTTAAAACAAACACTTCTGTACAAAGAGAAATCACAGGAGGTTAAAAAAAAGCCCACAGCTGTTCCAAGARGTGGTGAAGAAAGGAAATTGAAGCCCATTAAAATGGTAATTTATCAAATAGCTTCATCAAAGACAGGGCAGCGCTAATGCTGGTTCCCCATCCGCTCTGCAAAACGGGGCAAATAATCCAGGCCAGGGAAGGGTGTTTGTCAACAAAAGGGYGCTGCCAAAAAGCTGGGCAGTAAATCACCTTGGGCTTCCTCGCTGGGGTTTTCAGAGCCAATTACAGCTGCTGATTGACAGTTGCCAGAATCCGCCGCTGCCTGCTGCACATAAACGCTAATTGCTAAAACACATGCAGATTAATTGTAACCACAACAAGACATTAAATGTTCCTCAAAAGCCAAGATTAGAGGCAGACAGTGAAACAGAGGCTTTAGAGCTTGAAGTATTTATAGCTGAAGTAACCTAATCAAATACACATTAAGGCAAAATAAATATCCACTTAGTCACATAATTGCCGAAATACTCTCCGTGCACCAAAACCCAAAAACGCTTCAAGTTCCTCTTCACGAAGCCTCCAAAACCACTTCTCTTTTCTCTCGGATGAAGCTTCTTTAACAAGATTTAGGCCAAGAATGACATGAATCAGAAGCATCCATTACTGAGCAGTAATCTAAACTGTTTATCAGCATGCTTCAAAATTATATAAACCAAGCCTCAGTAAATGCGCTATTTTGTAATTATTCAAGGCAAGTCTGAAATCTCTGTGTGTGTTGTGTGTGTGTGTGTATATATATATATATATATATATTTTTTTTTTAAGACCACCCTGCCAATCCTCTTTATTGTATGGGCTCCAGGCACAGGAAGCCCCGATGAGGGCAGCAAGTTAAACACGGGATTAATGCTGCTCAAAAAACTGAGCTCATTAGTCTCTTTAGCAAATAATTATTTTGCAGTTATTTTGTTACACTGACCTACTTTCAAAAATACTGAAGCTTTGGAAAAATCTGTATTAGTTTATTCACAGAGCTTTTTATTTTTTTTTAATTTTTTAAACCATTTTGGCAACAGTATTTGCCACGCATCCCTGAAACTCCTGGAACTGTGAAAACAACATTTAAATAGTGAAGTTATTTACACGTGAAAGCCTAACATAAGAGGGCTATAGGAAGGTGGATGACAAGACCACTCGGTCACACGGTGACAAAGCGTCCTTCCTCGGCCACTGCAGCGAGCAGGGAGCCTTCAGCAGACCTACAACCACGGATCAGCCTCGTGCCTTTGAGGATAACACCCCAAAATGCACCGAGGCGGCCGTCACGCAGGAATTTACACCTGGGCAAAATAAAACCCAACTGGGATCTAGGAGACACCGGGAATGCGCTGCCTTTGCTGCATTTTTTGCAGATTTGAGGCCTTAATCCAGATTAGGAGCTGTCACTTATATGACATACACACAAAATAAAAATACAGGGACCTAGGATGGCAGTATTTAATTTGTGCTTACACTGCTCATTAGAGGCAAAATAATAGATTGGAAATCATTTAGATGTTCAAGCATGATTTCAAATATATACTGCTACTAAYACAACAGCACTGTAAGAGATTTGATATTGGAATTGATATTGGAAATAGAGATTAAGGCAAAATCTTTGTGTCTGGTCACCGCTGTCTTTAAAAAGCTTCACAATGTAGCTCCGTGTTCCCATCAAACCAGTCTCAGTGGGAAGCTGCGGATACGGCAGGTCCGCACACAGGCCGCCTCTCCGGGATCAAACCTGGAGCCAGTCCGAGCCGCTCCTGTGATTCGGCACCAGAAAGACAGGCAGAAAAAGGCTCCAGGACACCAGTGGTGCCCAGTGTGGCCGAGGACACGGTGCGGGACAGTCACTGGGGCTGCTGCGCTACCAGCTCTGCTGCTTCAGCCTGCAGCGTTAGCCCAGCTAAATCATCTTTCCCAAGGACTCGCCGTGTACCCAGAGCTTCCAAAYAGCCTGTCTAGGATTTAAATTTATTGCTGCAATAAAAAGAACAAGACCAGAGAGCATGTTAGAGTGCTCACAAGTAGCGAACCAAATAAATATTTATTTCGACTGCGGGAGCTGTATGTGTAATAGAATACATATGCGCTTTAAACCCCACCTCGGTCAACCACAGCGTATCTCTACAAAGTCATTATTGATAACAAGCTCCCATTTCCTTTTTTTCTTTTTCCTTTTTTTTTCTGTGCTGAAGTTGCACTATTCAAAACTGAAGGAGTCAATACTACCAGTCCCTTGGGAAGAGCCATGCCAAAAATAAAGGTGACGCARCTTACTAAAAATACGTGAATGAAACTTTAAACTTTATGAACTATTTCCCAATATCTGGAAGAAAACTGTAAGCAAGAGCATTAAATCGAGTTGAATGACTGAAAAATAGCTCTCAAAAAGACCACCTAGTTCAAGGAAACCGCTTCTCCAYTTTAAAGGGGAAATCCATTTGAGCACATAAGGGAATTCCTTTAATTTTCCTTTCCTATTTGGTTCAACCATTATTCCTACTCTCTCATGCGCAAAGCTGGATATTTTCCAGAGATTTGTACAAAGGACTAGTCCCCTTGATCGTGGGGAAGGGGATGAGTGAAGCCCCACACCATCAACCACCCCAGYGGCAGCACGGAAAGCAGAAACAAGCTCTTCCCGGCTAAAGAGAGCGTGTTGCTAAGTTGCTATTCCCAAACACTGTTCTTTCCGCTGCAGCCCCAAGGTAAAAGGAAACCCAAGCCTTCAAAGCCCCTTTCCGCCTGGCTTTCCGAGCTCGCCGGGGTCGCCCCACAAGCGCCCTCCGAATCCAAGCGGCTCCGGCGCGGGGAGGCCGAGGAGGGCGGCCCACAAACACAGCGGTCCTTGCACACACTGCAGCGACGTTCGGCTCATCGCCTGCAGCCCGAGCTTTGCGCCAGCGCTCCCAGTTTCCTTGGTCATCCTGGGGAACTTAGCAAGGTTTTTAGGAAGCCAGACCCGGCCTCAGCACTCCTTGATTTGGTGTTTTTCCCGAAAGTGTTAGCCCTTGCTGAGCTGGAGGTTATTGCTGCTTGACACCTGCAACAAACTCCTCAGATCTGCACAGGTCCCTCTCCCTACAGCCTCTAAAGGCCACAAGGATCCAAGCCTCAATTTGGGCTTCCTAACACCTGCTGCCACCACAAGTGTCCCTACCCTTTCCACAATGCTCTCCTTGCACACAGCATCCTCCAGCCCCTGCCAGGCTCATTGGAGCTTCTACCAGGGATTTCAGAGCAGGACCTAGTACTGCAAAGATCCTCTTGATTCCCTGAACACGAGCTCTGCTCTTAGCAATGCAGCCCAATGTGCAGCAGGCATTTGCTGCCGCAAGGGCCCGCAGACTCACGTGCAGCTTGTTGTCCACCAACAGAGCTTGGTGGACAACAAGCTGCTTGGTGTTTGGTTCTGCAGAGCTTGGTGTTTGGTTCTGCAGAGCTGCTTCCTTGCTGGCTGCCAACCTGTCCTGGTGCACGGGGCTGTTCCATCCCAGCCTCAGGACTTTCCACTCATCTCCACTGAACTCCTGCTGTTTCGGGCCCCAGGGCCCTCCTGCAGATGTTCCTCCCAGGCTGGTGTCAACCAAGGACTTGCGGAGGGGATGCTCCATGCGGTGCTCCAGGCTGCTAATGAACAAGTGATGGTGCCCCAGGGTGCCCAGGGACGGGCACATGCACCTGGGGTGGTTGTTTAGGGACACGCGGTATTGGGGAAACGCAGTATTGTGGCTGCAGGGACTGGGTGCCAGCAGGAGCAACTTCTTCCTCCCGGATGCTCATTCCTGGGTCTTCCCCTGCTCCCCGCTCAGTTCTACCAAGATTATACACCTAGGGGTGAGGTGAGCTGCAGACCAGAACTGATATACATTAAAAATAAACTAGTTCATAAAAAAAGTAAAAAAGGAGTTA